TATGTACCAACATATAATATACATTCTTGTTTAGATCATCAGAAGGCGAATTCATAGATACTAAACAAGGTAAGATTACATATAGTGAAAAGGGATGATCAGGAATGGGTTCCCTCACAAGCATACTAAAATAGTCTAAAAATATCAAAGACAAAATACACGATGACAATAATATACCCAATGACCTGAAGGATATGTGTGTTCATTCAAAGAAAGGTTTTCCTATGAATTAATTAGTAGAAAAGTCCATTTCTGCTCTGCCTCTCCTATAGGGACAAAGAGTGGGTTATCCTACTCACATTCCTGGGGGGTCATCAAACCAGTGATATCATGATTAGCTGTCATGGTGACCAAAGGGGGGATGGTGTTCAGCAGAAATCCTGGCATCCAGTTTATTGAGTGAGGGGACTGTGACGATTTGTTAATCTAATGAATAATTGATTTGTTAAATCAAATAAAAATTAGTGCGTCAGATTGGTCGAGACGCTACAAGACAGTGGCAAGGAAATGAACACAAAGAGTATGTTGCCATATGCCTACACCATGCGGTAGAGGGTTAAGGTTATGGCTGGGCGATAAAACAATAACGATAATTATCGCAATATAATTTTCCTTGATAAAATAAAGAGTTCGATAAATGTTCGATATAATGTTCATGTGCCAAAAGCAGAATGAAACAGCACTACTCATTTGAACTCTGCCACACGGATAAATCTGGTCAGTCGTGGTCACGCGAGCACTAAACAGCGCTGTGCGCTTGAATTCAGCGAAGAACACACATGACTATGATTGAAACTAGTTTAAAGCCGGATGAACAGTGCTGGCAAACAGGAGAAACACTGCTCAGTGATACAGTCAGAAGGCTTTTCAATCTACAAATCGCCATCATTTACCATGGATTTACTGTAGTAACACTAACTGCTCCATGGTATTGTGGCAGAAATGTGGGATATTCATATCGAATTTTATTATATTATTAATGTAGGTGTGTATTATTATAGGAGTAATGGAATATATTACAGTATTTTTTTGTGATTAAGAAATTGTTGGTAACACTTTACTTGAAGGGGTGTGCATAAGACTGACATGACACCTTCATAATCATGACATGACACATGTCATGAATATGAAGGTGGTTCGGGCCGTGTGTCTCCCTCATTTGGCTTGAACAGCTTTCTGCCTCACTCTGCTTCATACTACGACGTTAATAAATCTTTAATACATTTATTACATTTAATACATTAGCTCATCCATGAACATGATTTCTGCCCAAGTCCCATCGGATTGCTTCGGGCTGTGGGGATGAAGACGACAACTCCCATGATTCTACACTCAGTCACGGCATCATCAAACTACGCCTTTGTTTGTTTTGAATTTGCGCCCTCTAGTTGCAAAAAATTACATATTGTGCCTTTAAAACATGCAGAATCTAAAAAATTAAATTTTCTATTAAGATTTTAATTTTGTTAAGGAAAAATGACTGGAAATGTGTAAAGAATTAAAAAATGTGAAGTATTTGTCATGTTCTGGCCATAAAGAGTAGGCCTAGTTTAAAACCACAATCAACAGTCTGGTTTTTACAACTCTTACTTAGGAGCAAAAAGCTGCCTTTAAACTTAAAAAAAATAAATATTTGAAATTTATTGTGATAATTATCAATATTGACTAATATGAAAAATTTTATAGTGATCATTTTTTTGGCCATATAGCCCAGCCTTAGTTGTGGTTTTATGACTATTAAACTCTTTAAAAGAGTTATGAAGTTACTGCTGCAAAAGTCATCTTATTGTATGCAGGTTTCTCAAGCATGTGACTGATGTCATTGCCTATATGTAAAATACATTATATTCAAATTACCAACCATTTTTAAACAAGCTTTTGATGCCCTATTAGCAGTACGTTTCTCTGTGGTTTCCAGTGAGAGATGATCAACACTTTCAAAGCAATGCAACTTCTAAGAAACCTTTGTAAGACATCCTTAAAGCAGCCAAGGCTGGTTTTCTGTTCTTACCTGATCTTCCTGGTGATCTGCTTTAAGCCAGGCTCACACTGTGCGATTTTTTAAGAAAATGATGATCATGTCACACTGTGGGATCTCAGTTGTCATTAATGTCAGACTGTACGACAGTCAAGACGCGTTAAAACGGGTGCGCGCAAGAACTTGTCCAGAGTTCTACATTATCAACCCATACACGTTCAGTGACTGCGAGCTGCATTGCACTGTAATTGGCTTGGCATTGGCTGTAATGTTGGCTATCATTAAAAGTATATGAATGGCAGCAAAATACGGTGTATTTATGCAGAATAGTTCAAGCAGCACTACACACCCACATGAAAACAGCAGCGCAACCGGTGTTTATCATAGCAAAGGCAACAAATCATATGAATTCCGTGAGCAGAGGACGAGAGTGCCGGAGTTTATGCGGTTAGAAGAAATCTCTAGCATTAATTCTGATCATGGCAGTTTGACGTTCGTCGTGGGAGAAGTCACACTGCCAGAATTTCGTCGGAGGTAAAATTTGATCGCAACGGCCATTAATCGGCTGTCAGTGAACATGTCAAACTAATGATCAAAGACTACAGATTTTAGCCTAGGATTATAGGAATCTTTTAGGATTTTCAAAATTTGTCTCAGACGACCAAATCGTGGCCAAAATTGCACAGTGTGAGCCGGGCTTTAGAGAGGTTTTGGCCACTTTTCAGTCTAGACAGTTTGACATTTGTCGTAGGAGATGTCACACTGCAGGACTGTGCGCCAAATCTTCTGACACTGCCAGCAGTTCGTCAGAGGAAAAATTTGATCGCAACGGTCATTAATCGGCTGTCGGTGAACATGTCAAACTAATGATCAAAGACTACAGATTTTAGCCTAGGATTATAGGAATCTTTTAGGATTTTCAAAATTTGTCTCAGACGACCAAATCGTGGCCAAAATTGCACAGTGTGAGCCGGGCTTTAGAGAGGTTTTGGCCACTTTTCAGTCTATCTGGCTGGGAGACCAACCTGCCAACCAGCTAAATCTTGCTGTGAGATCATTTAAATCCAGCTAATGCTGGGAACACACTGTAGGGTATCAGACCGAATCAGACAATTTAAGATTCGATCAAGAACATGGTTGAAACACGAGAAGCCGAATTCCACAGAAAGGCCCAAGCCACAGGATGTTCATAAATCAGGTCAAGTCAGGTCATGTCCACCAACTAGCAGCTTTGAGTAGCTCACAGCATTTAAACAAAAGAACACTTATTGACAGTTCCAAGGAGATTGTCAATTTTGGGGCAAGTAAGCAAGATTAATGGTCAAAGAAATGCACAGCATGACCATCACATGTAAACCAGTGATAGTAATCACGATCACAAGCTCTTTGGATTGACTTTCCCCCCACCTAGAAGACAAAGAACAGACTGAGATTCCTTATGAGAGACCTCTTAACCTCTGGTCTTCACAGACCATGTCCTTTTGTTCAGAGAAATGGTACAGAAACTGTCTTTACAGATGTAGATGCACCAAAATGACCAAACTTATAAACTAATATCAGTCCATTGCTTAACTCCATATTATGTATCTAACCCACACATTAGACTATCATGTTTTAATCACGTATTGTGTATGTCTTTTTAATAACTATTGAGTAACTTTATATTCATATTTAGTATGTGTGTTTGAATCTTCTTGCTTGAAACGTTTCTTCCAATCAATTCTTTATCAAATGTATCATATTCTTGTTATAGAAATCATGTCCAAAATTATACTCTGCGAGAGCGGAAAAACTCGGACCATGTGACTGATGAGATAACATTTGATTTATGAATTGGGAGGAGAAATATAGCAACACCCTGAGCTAAGACAGTGTCTTAATTGGTCAAAACACCATTTGGGATGTGTCCAAAAGTCCACTTTAAATACTCAGGACACCATCAGATCATGGCTTTTTGCGTCTAGCTTTTAGTTTTGCTCTTTTAGCCATGCGGCTTTTTAGTCATAGCTTTGAGCTATGCTTTTTAGTCATCGCCTTTTTAGCTCTTTAGCTTTTTTGGTCATGGCTTCTAGCCGTGCTTTTCAGTCATTGCTTTTTGCGCTCTTCAAGCGTGCTCTGGCTTACACGCCAGCTCCTCCAAAACCATGAGGAGAAACGCCACCTAGTCTTGTCAAACTTTACTTCTATTTCTTTACTTTAGTTTCTTTTCCTATTAGAAGAATATGACGAGAGAATGGTTTCTTGCAGAAGCCATGCATGCTGATGTTCTGTTGCAAGTCTGTGACTCCTCCCCTGACATTTCCCTTGCCCTGTATGTTGCTCTTTCATTGGCTGTAGGTTGCCGTGATGTCATTTTTAGTCAAAACACATTTCAGGCTGCTGGTCAAAATGGTCAATGTGTGAAAATTGGGGCTAAAATCGTGCAGTGTGTACCCGGCATGATCCAGCAAATAGTCTTTTGCAGTTTTTCTTTTTTTTTCTTTTAGGAAAGCTGCTAACAGTAAAATATTAGTTTAAATGTAAATTTTGTTCTGGACATACAGTGGGGAAAAAAAGTATTTAGTCAGCCACCAATTGTGCAAGTTCTCCCACTTAAACAGATGAGAGAGGCCTGTAATTTTCACCATAGGTATACCTCAACTATGAGAGACAAAATGAGAAAAAAAAATCCAGAAAATCACATTGTAGGATTTTTAAAGAATTTATTTGCAAATTATGGTGGAAAATAAGTATTTGGTCAATAACAAAATTTCATCTCAATACTTTGTTATATACCCTTTGTTGGCAATGACAGAGGTCAAACATTTTCTGTAAGTCTTCACAAGGTTTTCACACACAGTTGCGAAAATGTTCCTCCAGTCAGAAATATTGCCTGACGAGCAGGGCTAACTGAACTCAATAATTTATTTATCTCATTTAAGACCCTTTAAAGAAAAACTGCTCTATTTCCATGGAAGCAGAAAGAGAAGCTTATTAAACAATGAATCAGTTCATTAAAAATGCATGATATAACGGAAATAAAATGCAGGTATACTAAGCACAGCTTGTCTTTTTGTGAGAGAACAATTCAAAAGTTTTTCAATGGCAAGACATCAAAAAACAGTATGGTTTTCCTCTCTCTAGTCCAACTTTAGAAAATGACACAGTAATGTAACACTGTACACCACAGGGAAAGCACCACCTCCGCTGCCCCACCAGAGGCACAAAGTAACCTGCACTTTGAAAAGCTATTCCCAAATTGCATTCCTTGACTTGCCGACTCCACTTAATTAATTCCACCCTCAGTGATAAGATTTCTATCAGTGGTGGGTGTTATGATTAGGTGTCAGTGGTTTTTGTCCTTTCGCACTGAGAGGTCCCTCTGAAAACCCTGTTATTTGCACCCACCCTCACATTCAGTCAGAACACAGAGTCGCCTGCTGTCTCGAATCCCTTCTTCTCCACACAGCCTCTTCCTATACGTTGCTCATTTACCCCAGATTATTCTCATGGCTGATGATTAACATGGCTGATTTTCCCACTACCACAGTAGGATCTGTCTCAATAAACACAAGTTCCGTCAAATCTCTCATAGGGTTAAAACAACAAACAAAATAAAACTTCTCAAAATAAAACCAATTACCTGACGGGTCCACGTGATTATGGGCAAACAGAGAGGCTGTGGCTTGAGGCAAGCAGTAAAATGATGCCACTGTGGAAAAGTAATAATGTGCTGGAACTCATCGAGCCCAGTTTGTTTTAATGCGAAAGCAAACAGTGCTTATCAGTGAAGGATGAACTCTCCACTCCTAATAGATCCCAAGTGTGTAATCTGTAATCTTTTTTAGGGCAAAATATAGATTTTTTTATCGTAATCAGGACCTTCCTTGTGGTGTTTGACTTCATAAAGTGGGATTGAAACAATAAGCAGTTTATAAAGTATTATGTTTTGTTGAAGTGAAGGTCAGCTTTCAGGTAATTAAAGTTAGATTGTGTATGTGTCAAATGTAAAAATAAGTGTTTAATTGGAACAGTTCATTGTTGGAGCTGAGCTGAATGAGAGAGAGAGAGAGAGAGAGAGAGATGCAGAGCATGTGCAGAGCAAGGGGGCACGAGGAACAGTATTAAGAACCGCTGCTTTAGAACATTGATTTTGAAACTTGTGAATCCATTAGAATTGTTAGAAGACAGAATAATGATTCATATATGAATAGATTTTTACCTGCACCTCTAGTTTTCTCTTCCTCTTCTCTAAAGCAGCGCAGCATGGCCTCACCCCCTTTGCTACCTTTTCCCGGGGGCGGGGTTTATCTGGGTTTGTGATGTCACGAACCCGGGAAGTAACTTGTTGTAGTCCCTACCAGCCGTTTTTTTAGGCATTAAACTGCCAGAATTTTAAAATACGATATCTCAGTTTGCATTGAACTTTCAGTGTCGTAACTTTGCAGATATTGTTTATGCTCAAACATCAACATTACACACTAACTAACGTTAAGTGAAATCGCAATCAACCACCCCTTTAAATTTTCAAATGCAATATCTACTTTTTAAAATCCAAATTGAATTATTTAAACCTAATGCTGAATTATTAAAAGCTGGCACGTAATCATGACAGCTCACCATGGTTAAATTAAGGCAGAAATTAAAATTAAAATTTAGAATTTTAGTACAGTTTTTTTTTTTTCATTTTCTTTCCCCTAATTTTTTGGCCCTAAGCAAATCATCAACATCGTCATCATCAGTTTTACTCAATTTCTTCAGTCCTTAAGCACGATTACAACATTTGCCTCTATAAATATCTGTTTGATTAAAGGGTCATATGATGCAATTTCAAGTTTTCCTTTCTCTTAGAAGTGTTACAAGCTGTTCGTGAATAGATAAGATCCCTAAAGTTGCAAAGACTAAAGTCTCATACCCAAAGAGATATTCTTTATAAAAGTTAAGACTCGTCCACACCCTCCTAAAATGGCTCGTTCTAACACGCCCCCACATGTCTACGTCACTGTGTGGGAAGATTTGCAAAAGATTAGTTTGGCCTTCCAAAAGAGGACACAACTAGAAATCAGTGGTTAAGTTGTATTTACAACACTGTTCTAGAACAGTTCAACCCAAAAAAACCCAAAGATGTGTGCAGCGCATTTTACGGAGGACGAGGACTGTTTCCTGGGAGAGTAGCCTACAATGCCGGTGTTCTGACAAATAATGCTGACTCACAGCCTGTAAGTACGTTTTCATATTTAAAGGATTTGCCAATGATGATTCGATCACAAATGCAGACATGGTTTTATGTTTGCGCGGCGCGATGCAACACGTAAAAAGACAGTATAAGTCATCATAATCAATAATTATGTCCCCACTGGATGCTACAAATGCCTTGTTTGTAATGGCTTTTATGCTGCATTCACGCCAAATCATAATTACCGTATGAGTAAGATGAGATGAGAGCACGTCACGTTCTACTCTGAGCTGTTCACGTCCTCGGACTCGGAATTATGCTTTTCTATGGCAACACTATCAATGCCTAAATAGAGCCTGCGGTGGTCAGGTGGTACAGCGGTCATGTGGTACAAGTCGTAGCTCTCAGAAAACGTCTCGGGTTATGTATGTAACTCTAGTTCCTTGAGGGAACGAGACGCTGCATTGGAAATGCTAGGGGAACGCCCTTCGGCGTGACGGGCTCTGAACCTCGTGTGTAATCAGACCAATAGATGTGCGAGACGTCACGGGCGACTGAGGGTCTGTTTAGTTGCCGGCAGACCTCTCTTAGGGGTACCATAACAAACAAGCAACTGGTCCGCCCTCCTCCACAGGGCAGTTCTGTGGACGTATGCATCCAGTGCACGCACCGGACACATACAGTTTAGCCTCTTCTGGTCTGGATCCCCAAAGGGATGAGGACTGAAGGCCTGGAGTACGACAGGCCGCGGTGTAGAGGACGGGACCTTAGGGACATATCCCTATTGCGGGAACAGAAACGCTTTGGCCAGACCAGGCGCAAAGTCTAGATAAGATGAGGCCACTGAAAGGGCCTGCAGATCCCCAACTCTCTTGAGGGAAGATATCGCCAGAAGGAAGGTAGTTTTTATGGTAAGTAAGCGATCAGATATCTCCTCAACAGGCTCGAAGGGAGGCCTACAGAGAGCCT